TTATAATTTCTACAGCCAGAATCCTAATTCCCTATTCCTTTTAGTTCAAGACTGGCTATCATACAGAATATGAATATCCATCATATTCTGTAAGACCTATCGCTGTTTGCTTTTGTACTAAAATAGTCTTGTTATTTAGGTTGTATTACCTTTTTAATACTGTCAGGTAATTAAGACTACAAGCCTTGCTTACCTCAAACGTAAATATACCTTTTAGTAAACTTCGTGACGCTTAGTTTAGAAGTTTTGTGTTAACACCATGTCTCTTACATTGATATGATCAAATCAACACTTTCCCTATCATGGCTTAGGTTTTTTATGCTTAAAATATCCCTTTAAAGCAGGCTAATGGCAAGTACCAAATTATTTATTGTAGCTGGGTACATTTATATTGGTAGCAGAAAACATCATTGGAATTTACCAAACAGTCTTTAAATCCAACCTATAAATTATTGAGTTGACAAGTAAATAATTTTCGGTTTTCTTTATGTCATATAGCTCATTCATATCTTAAACATAAAATTAACAGATAAGCACTAGCGTATTTTATTTTTTAGATACAGTTATGATTCTAGGAACTGACTTTGTGTCATTTACATTCTGTTTTGGCCTCTCACATTATTATGGGCCTAAAATAAGGGTGTACGACAGTTATATTATCTGTATAGGTTAGCTTGACAGTTATTTGAACAGTGATGTCACAGCTAACAATTGAATGGCGATACTTGCTGGTGTTGGTTTGTGTGCTCGTTGGTATTTATATTTTCACCATCCAGTCATGACCCTGGCTATCGAGCCATCTTTTTATGACGTCCGCAGATGCTGACCGATAACATTTGGCTCACTAAAACCTACTTATCTGCATAAATTAATACCAGAGAAAGTCCAGCTTTATGTCTGAAGGTATTTGATTATCTCCATTGAAGATAAAAGATAACCCTGAAGTGTGGTGTTAAGAGTCAATATTGGATATATTTTATGACTTCATAGAAAAGGAATTTTAAAAGGGTATTTCTGAGAGAAGTCATGGTTTGTTTGGCGTTGTTATACATGTTACATAACACTGTGATAATGTTCATGAATCTTGTTACATTTTTTAGTGTATAGCTTTGACAATGTCTATTGCACAAATGTGTATTTGACAATAAAGGATTATTATTCTTCTTATTCTTTGGGAATCTAATCACTGGTGTTAGTCGTTCATGCAGTAGTTTTATTTTATTTTTGTTTACAAACACCATTCCTAATAAGTTGACAACCCTACAAAGCAATTACTCGTTAATAATAGTACAGAATAAATTACAATTTAAAAGTTTTGGTGTATGAAGAATTAGTCTGATGACAGTTATCAGGTGAAAAATCAATTAAGTTACTTACATAAATGCCATTATTGAAAAATACTTTAAGACCCTAAGATCAATTGAACTTGACATTAAATGCCGGTTGCAGAAATTATACTGAACACTAAATTAGTTAAGGCACATCAACCAATGTTTTTTTCAAATAAGTAGAAGTGCAAACAAATTATGTTTAATCATGTACATTTTCTACAACCCATGTAAATAAGTTTAGACCCCATCTCTAATCTTTTACACTTTGGGTATTATAAAACAGAATATAACAAATAGTAATTGTAGTAACCGACCATCTATAAACCAGCATTTCTATTTATACTCTATTTGACGTGTCAGAGGCTGTCAAGAAAATTACTGCAAAATATGTGATCTGTTCGGCCTTGTAGTTCCCGCCAAAATGGTGTATGTTCCCGCCATTACTTCGTCCTGTTCGTGATCATCCCCATTAACCAAGCGTGCAGACCTGTTGTGAATTATCTGTTGTGCAACTATGAGCGACTGGTGACTAGGGCACTGTGTTCAACGTTCAGCATTGTTCTCTACGAGCTGTGGAATTATCTCCAAGACATGCTTCAATGACTGATATTTCCGTTAGATCAGTGTAACAATAAAAGACGATGGAAGGAGACCAAAGAAGACAAAGGACCAAAGGAGACTATGTGCCTATGTGTCTAAAGCAATATCTTTCTTTATGGCCTCAGCGTTGTAACTAATATCAGGATATTCAGTATACTACCAATTTATGAATTACATGTGCTTGTGAAAACACCGATGGGTTAAAACCACATCGAGACTCTCTCGGAATTGATGTCGTTTTCAGCTTCAATTTGTTTATTAAAATGTGTTCAAATCACATCAGTTTATTTCCAGTTAAATACTCAATAAATAATCTAGGTATGAAAGCTTACATACTTACAAGCTTGCATTAGAACCACTTACACATTCATGATTATGATAACCTGTAGATAATGGGTAGTTTTCTTTCAAATTTTAAAACTTTCATGAAAAACATCTTATTTGGCAATTTAAAAACCTTTTCTTATTACTTTAACTATAAATTAATACACTTTTTTGATGGCTAACTGGTCGAAGAAGAGATTTCGACGATATAGCCTAGGTATAGTTTTTATGAGTTTGGATTATTAAGATTATTGCAAACATTATCAAAGAGAAATAGTAAAATCCATTGAGTTCATCCGAACACTTTTTCTACTCTTCGTAATGAAAAATGTCCGCTATAAGCCAAAAACTCCAGTTGGTGGTCATAAATACCTCCAAGAACCTATCATATTACGTCTATCGATTTTGGTCGTATTCAAAGATAGAGTCATAAAATTTTAAGTTTGGCGAATATTGCATTAAATATCAACATAATGACGAGAAGATAATAATATTCATAATATATGTCACAAATGTACATTATTGTCATTGTTTATTGGAAATAAATAATCTTGAATCTTTAATGACACCAGCTCTCTCGGTAGCATCGTTCTTTTGATGATCCCAAGAGTTTCAGCAACTACCACCATTAAAGTCTCCCATTTGAAGTATATTTTCACAGTTATTTTTCCGGGCACTAACCGTGCTTGTGTTGTTAAGTGTTGCAATTGATGTCTATATTACTACGTTCTGCTTTAAACTACCGGTATTTGTTTTAGATTTTTAATAAAACCTCACAGTGTTTATTATAGATGTTGTCCTGTAATTAACAAATCATGTGTAATTTTGGCACATAATTAATATTTTAACAAGTTAAAAAGCAATGTATAACAAACATTAGTTATTTGGTCAAGATTATGCAATTTCATCAAGTAAGCGTATAGCTATCAAGTATCAAGATAATGTAACATCATATTATTAGCCCCTTTATATTCTGTATATATCTAAAGAGGCTTTAAATATTTAAAGTGCTTTAAATATCTAATATAATGTGTATTATTTGTAAATTAATACTCTTATTTTTCATTGACCATTTATTTAATATATAATCTACAGATTTTTGTATTGTTTTAGGTGCAAATTAAAATGTATATATTTTTCTAAATTACGTAGCAAAGGTTGTTGTCATCGTTTTCGTTTCATGAATCGTTGAGGAAATTTTCACCTTCGAATTTGGTAAATTTTAAGGTAATTGTAAGGATTTAATTTAAAAAGTAAAATTAAAATACATAATTTATATATGTAAAAGTTGATTTATTTATTTAAATATATATTAAAAGTGCCAAAAATATGTAAAAATTAAATCATTCAATTAATTTTCAAACAACCTTATTGAAAACTGGTCTTACTGGTTTTTGATAAATCTTGAAGATTGTATTGTAGTAATGTATTTAAGTGTTTAATAAAGAAGTTCAGATTCAATAAATTGGGTTCATATTGTACTACAATTGTAAAATTAATAATATATTATAAATATGTTTAATTTTTAAAAACTCAAGACTAATTTAAATAATAAATTGTTAAAATTAAATAAGGTATTTTATTTTTAAAACTACAAAATAGTCACGTACCGGTTAAGTGGGATTGTACATATGAAGTGCTGTCTCTATCACCACCCCTATATTACCAAGGGTATTTTGTATTCTATACGAATCAAGAATGAGTAGAAATTAAATTATGTCCTTAAAAACAAAACAATACATTTATAAAAATAGTACAACTTAGAAATTTACTGACCGTTTTATCCAGCTGTGATCAGTGTACATAGAACCATATGTTTATGTTTATCATCATAGAGTTACAGTCTTATCATCCTGTTAATGTACTAAGCCCCTCCCTCCTGTTGCTGCCTGAAGAGTAATATACATTAATATGGATATACTTTCAGTGATGAACACGAAAGTATATAAAGTTTTATTAAAATTTTCAAGACGGATAAAAACATAATACTTTATTTTAAAACATTCCTGAGTAACCAAGTATGACTTAGGCTATGTTGAATAACCATTCCTTCAATCCATTACAAAATCTATTGGAAGAATTACGTCTTACTACAAAAGAACCAAAAAATAAATAAGTATTGTTAAACAGATCTTTGTTGACTTTTTGGGACCTAAAATATATCTATGCTTCTAATATTGTAATATAAGCTATTAGTTCTATTATTTTTTTTTATAAAATAATTTAAACATATTTTCGATATGTATCTTTAATTAAATATTAAGATTCCAATACAAATCAACATGAATGCTTCTTATATTTATGTTTAAATAGTGTTATTTAGGAGGCCTATTTATAATAAAAGTAAATGTATTTGCTGATAAAATCAAGAGAGTATATTAACTTGGGAATTTGTAGTAATTTAGATGAAAACAAAATCTCTTTTTCAGGGGGTTTACATGTACCAAGTACTGTAACTAATTATAAATATTTCATCAAAAGTTAAAACTAACTGGATTTTACTGTATTTCAGTTAAAATTGTTTTTTAATAGTCATGTGTTTAAGCAAATTAAATTGAATTACTTATACAATTAAACGAGTATATTAATTTGGAAATTCGTAACAATTTAAATGAAAATAAAAGTCACTTTCAGGGGGTTTTACAGCTACCAAGCGCTGCCCCTTTCACTGCCCCCTCCTATATACCGTATCAGATACTAAAGAACGACGCGCTCTGTACACGCTCATTCCGTCCGCGATACCACCTCCGTGAAGTGCGCGATCGTGCCTTCTGGATAACTGGTGCGATCTTTACAATTTCAAATAATATTTATCACAAGTTTCCTAATAGTGCCGTGTGTTTTGGTAGTTTAGTGTTGTTTTTCGAAGGACTCCTGCAACTACCGGCGTTAAAGTCTCCAGTTTCTTGTGAGTATAAAAGTTCTTAAATTGGTTTAAATAATTTATTGGTTTTCTTTAGGGCATCACCACATTTGTAAGCTTTTATTTTATACTTTTAATAGATTTTTTTTATAAAAAAACATAATTAAAAAATTTGTTCTTTAAAAATAATTGCTATTGCAGTTTCATAATAGTTTGTAGTTTTATGAATTAGCCTGTGCTTCGTAGCAAACGTTTTGGGCGTGGGGTCCTCGTTTTTTCTCTAAATTTTAGGACTGGGTAGTTTCCCACATTACTTCAGGTTAGGCTTAGTGGATTTTCTGTTATTATCACTTAAATATAATCCATTAGTGATTTGCGGGATTTCTGCCCTGGACCTCGATGACCAAAGTCTCGCACTCTACCACTACACCAGCTCTTGGTATTTTTTGTGGTGACCATACCTCAATTTTTTTATAAAATTTTCTTATTTAAAATCATATTTTATATTTGCAACCCAAATATGAAGTGCCTCTGTATGATAAGGTTAAATTGGCCCCAGCAATAAATGTTTCCCCTTGAAAAAGTGTATTACATAAATTATAATGTTGTAAGGATTAAATGTTGTATAATCCCATAGAAATTTTGTAGTACCATATTTGAAACAACAGTGTAATGACCTTATTCTGTAAACATTGCAAATCCATTGATTTTATAAATATTAAAATATATTTACACAAATTCCCTTAGCATATTAACCTACATGTGCTGTATAAAAACAAAAGTGCTGTATCACAAGTAAAAACTCCTAATCCTTGAAGCCTTGATAAGGTAAATACAACGAAAATATTAATAACTCATAATATACCATTCAGTACTTTGTTCTCTATCGTCCATTTATCATCGCATATCTTAACAAAGTGTGAAACACTAAGTGATGTAAGATAAATTAGATCTACTATGCAATTATCTCTAGGAAAGTAAAGGCAGTTAGTTACGCACTATGCGTTCACTTTCTTTCAGAGAAGGAGGAGGAGTTTATAAAACGGGAAAACCACTAATAACTCACATAGCTTGTAATTTGTAGAAACAGAAAGTTACGTGGTAAATATTTTTCAAAGGTTTCCAATTTTCACGATGGTTAAAACTAAAATAGGTTTGTTTTGTTTCATTTGAAATATTCATGTATATATGTTTTCCATAGCTAGTATTATTATTTTTTACACATTTGAGTGTGTCGATACATTTTTAAATAATTAGTAGGCTAAAGTATTAAAATTATAATGTTTATATTTATAAGTATGTCCTGTTTTAATGTTTATTTTTAAATTTATCTGCATTGTTGTTTTATTATTAATAAAGTGTTTTATGTGTTCTACGTTTTATTAACGTTTAATTATAATACCAGAGGAGAGCTATTACATTTAATATTATATTCTACTGCATAAAATGTAATTTGATTGTCGTCAAAGTGAAAGTAGTAAAACTTGATCTTGACTGATGAAACAGCTGATCTTAGTAAGTAGCAAAGCTACACAGATCATCTTTTACCATTCTACGCACATCCTTCATTCATTGGGTTGAAATAGTGGTGTCACCGTCTCCTCAAATAATTGATAATTGATAATAGATTGATACTTGATATAAATTTTCTTTAAAACAATAGTCAAAAAACTTGTCGAATTTGAGGGAAAGTTATAAAATTAAATTTAATGATTGTTAATCAGAACGTTCAAGATTGTTACTACATAACATTTCAAATCCTACTATCTAACTAACTATCAATCATGTTTTACTAAAGCCTCTTCTTTGAGGTTTGGATGTTTTTTCGAAAATACAATTTTAGGCTTCCAAAGAAAAATAAATTCTGAGCAAACCTCTTTGAATAAGGAGTCTTATTACTTGTTATATGTCTCAATTCTTTTAATGACGTTGATTTCCGATTTATGTTGTTAATAATGAATTTCAATACTTTATAATACACTTTCCAGTTTGACTCTTTTCCCTTCAAACACATTTATATTTTTAATTCTAATCACTCGTATATTTTTTTATTTTTATTTTAAAAATTACCTTAATAACATCGTTTGTAATAAAAAATGTATAAAATAAACAAATTTTATATTCTAGTATTTACCATCGTTGCAATTTTTTTTCATTCTATGTCTTTAATTGGCATATTTAGCATCACGAAATAAATTTATATAGCTTATATATTTTTAGTAAAAATTTTCTAAACAAATATTTTTAAATTTGTTATGGAAGTACGTGATACATTGTCCCAAATAACCTTGTGAACAACATAAGATCATGTGCTTTGGAAACATTATGGGTTAATATACGATGCATATATCTAAAATACTATTTCATTTGTTTTTTGCTATCTTTCATATTAACAAAAAAATGCCCATTGGAACCATCTCGTATATTTATCTTTCAGTGCCATATAGGCGCTGCAACTCGGCGAAAGGACAGAGATTCAACTTGCTATAAATTATTTCGGGAAATAATTAACGACAAGTGAAAGGTGGGACGGAAAAGGTAGAACTGGGTTATACGTGCCGGTAGGTTGGCTGTACTGCGATACGTGACGATTAAGTTGGCAGGACTGCTAGGGGGGACGATCTGCATGACTTACATCCGTTGGCAACCCTGTCGATTAGACGTCGCAATTCATATCATGCATCAATGTTATGATCAAGGATATCCTGAATGGGGTATGGCTTTTTGATTTTATGGTGTTTTGATTTTTTTATAAGTTCCATCTTTCTGAAATACTAATTATCTTATGGTGGGCAAAATTGGTTGATTGGAAGGTTTATAGACTATTTTGTAAAGTTTAAAGATCAGAATTTTTTGTAGGAATCAAGTTAAAACAAATGGTTTAAAATTTGGTTGATTTCATTGAGATCACAAACACAAGTTATGGAGTATAAGAAAGCAAAACCAACAGTAATGTACATGAGTTTACATCATGAAAAACCATTCGTCAGATAAAAGACAAACAAGTTCTTCAAGTTCATTAGGCTTTCTAGAATAATTTTTTCAGCTCCATCAATTTTGAAGTGGAACACATTTCTTTGCAAACTTCACATAACGAAATTTCAGTGGCATCAGATTACTAGATCAAGAGACGAATTTTTAAATGATTACAACGACTATCCCATTTTAGACTACTACTGTGTAGTGAGCCAAAGAGAGTGAAATGTCAGAACGGGGTGAGTCAAGCCAAGCCATTGGTGTTCAACGTGACATGAAGTCCAGTCTACTGGTCTTGCACCAGCAGTGTTGGTAGTGCTAAACAAATCTGTCACTAGATGGTCGTAGCAAAACTCAATTAATCATGCATCTCGTCCATTCCATTGACAGTTCACGTCTTAATATCATATTCTAATCAACAGAGTATGCACAATTGTGTCATGCCACAAGAACAACTTTACCCTTCCTAATCCATACTGGTTCGTTGAAAACAAAACGCATTTATATTAGTTCATCACACCACAGTCTTCGGAAGTAGGTAACAAGTACTAAAAGCTGATCTATATCTCTCTCTGCAGTCAGAGCTATCAAAGTCTCTCAGACTGTCTCTAAGAGAAGACCTGCTTCAATGCTAATTGCCTCTGTAACCTTTAGAGGCGGGGGCGTTCCATCTTGTTTCATTAGCTAGTGTGATATAGAGGCCTTCGTCGCAGTCTTCATTTCCTATATGTTAATTGGCTTCACTCACAGATAGTAGTTACAGACTTGAAGCTGATTGGTAAGTTGAAGTACCTCTGCATAATGCAGTGGAAGTGATCCTTCGAGATTATTTCTTTAGTGATTGCAATAATTGTGGGTAGCCCAGGCAAATCTTTAAATCTGCCTCTGTAAACTATACCGACTAAGGTAATTAATTGATAAAATTTCAAATTAACCTCAGTAAAACACTCTTGAGAACAATGTCATGAGCTATAGCTTTGCAATTGTTGTTTTCAGAAACGATTTATTCTTTCCAGTCCAAGTTGGATTGTAACATAACAGTAGTTATACTCGTTATTTAAAAAATCGTATTATTTAAAACCGAAGTCTCTAGGCCTACAACCAAACTTGTAAACATAATTGTACGAAAATTATATCACAAATCATTTGACAACATTTCAAGACGTCAAGGATTGAAATATTACTCTTGACGTATTCAGACGGCAAATCAAAAGTTGCAAATTCGCATTCATCCGACTTGCAAAGTCAGACATCATCACAAGGGTATTCCACGACGGTGATTAGTTTCACGTAGTTCCTGCGGCTACCGTAGACAGCAGCACGGGCGCGGTGTCACGAACACCCCTAGGTTCCGCACATCCGTGATCAGCGCTTCTGGTGGCCTAATAAATCCAGCTTCCGCCATATTGCCTCCATAGAGATAAATTAAATGGGGAAAACTGAAGAGCTAATTGCAGAGAGCCCTGGAGCACAATAGACCAGCTGTCAGTTGCAAGTTGAATTAAATATGAATTTTTGGGCGGGTGTACAAAAAGTTACATCAAATGAGTACGTTTAAGCTTCGGATGACTTGCTGGGACTCTGAGTCCACCCCTCAACAATACAATATTTAGATGTCAGTAGGAAAGTTGGGCGAGCAAGAGGATGGTATCTGCATTTTTATAATTGGCTTACCAAATAATCTGGTTGAAATAGTAAAATCTCTAGTTAAATTGCACAATTTGAAAAGCATGAAATGACAGAAAACCCAATTTCCTCAGTCCAGCTTTTTAAGCAAAGTTATCACTTGACCAACTAATATTGTGTACTCAGGGCTCAAGCTAAGGCTAAACAAACACTAAAGGGAAAAATATATAACCAAAATTTGAGATCTGTATTTGACTTTGAATGAATTCAAAATTCTCATTACTGTATTAGCACCGATTTGGAACTCCAAAAAAATTGTCCACCCTACCAAAATATTTGAGAGCTCATTACAAAAATGCACCAACATCTGTTGAGCTCAGAGGTTTTCAACTCGACAAAAACGATAAACATACAATAGCATCTTCCCTTTCTCGGGAACAATA